GGTAGACATCTTTGTTCTTCTTCTCCTCTTTAATTTGTGCGGAGTGTCTGCGTGTTTCCTGCTGACAGCTGGGAGTAATAACTCCTCTGCGGGACACCGGGGCTTTACAGAAACAATGAAAAATTCATACATCGACTCTTTTCTTCCTGAGTGTTTTCACTGATCGAACCCTGATGAACAGCGGACCCCCCCCCCCCCCCGGGTTTTGCTGACTCGGCTCTACAAAGCCGGGCCGATCGGTTCCTGCTAAAGTCTCTGTCCAAGGTGAGGAGGATCGATGGAAAGAGTTGGACCTTCGGGCCTGATGGAATGCTGCTACAGGAGAAACTGAGCTGATTGGATCTGGATCGGTAACCAGCCTGGCCCCTGGCCCCTGGGGCCCCCCAGATTTACACCTGGCAGGGCGGGGGTGGGGGGTGGGGTGTTCTGGAGCTCTGCGAGGAGAACCCAAAGAATTCCCTTCAGGATCTACTCTCAGTTTCAGCTGCTGCTCCATTTATCATCATCTGCCTCCAGGAAGGACTCTTGTCTGTGTATAGTGTTTATGTGTCTCTCTGTTAGCAAAATATCTCATAAATCAGAGGATGGATTTTAATAAACTTTTACAAACAAATCTCAGGATGTGTGTCTACACCTGTCTGCCACAGCCAACTGAACTTAAAATACACATAAATATCTCTACAGGTCTTTCAAATATTGAGCTAAACTAGATCTAGTATTAGCTGAGAGTCATCCTCAACACATTCTGAGTGCCAATGCACCTGGAGCTTACCTGATACTCACAGGGTCCTTATGTGGTGTTTATAAAGTACTTACCAAGTATACTGTACATACCTGATATTTACAGGATCCTCATGTGGTAATTATAAAGTACTTACCAAGTATACATACCTGATACTCACAGTGTCCTTATGTGGTATTTATAAAGTACTTACCAAGTATACATACCTGATATTTACAGGGTCCTTATGTGGCATATATCAAGTACTTACTAAGCATACACACCTGATCCTTACAGGGAAATTATGTGGTACATATAATATACATCCCACGTATACATACTGTTAGGACTGAGTGTTTGAGCTCTGAATAATTGCCGAACACAGAAGCAAGTTTAACAGGTTTATTGTTAAATTGAGTGACTGGAGGTAGGAAGCTGGAACCCAGGAGCAGCAGGTCTGGATACAGAGAACAGGGATTAAGTTGGTTCAGGTAAATTATATTATATAAGTA